AGTGAGTTGGTGATTAAGGCTGATCTGCGAGTCCAGGAGCCTAAAGGTGGCGAGGTGATCCGCGTTGTTCCAAGACCAACAGTTCTTGCGGACTTGAGTTTTGAGGAAATAAAAGGTGTGTTTGAGCAATTGCCAGAGGCAGTCAGCTTGCTTGCCTTGGCACGAACAGCAGATGGTACAAGGGCCAGGTATTCAAGATTGTACAGAACCTTAGCCAGCAAAGTGACGGCCTTGAAAGAGATTGTTGCAGAGATGGAGAGGGGTGGTGTTTTCAAAGATGTACGATCATCGTAGTGTTACTGTGTTAGTGTAGAGTTATATATGATGTTGATGTTGTATATGGATGCCATTTGACGGCAGCCCCTGTAACTTTGTTTTTACTATTTGGAAACCTATGTTGTAACACTATTCTTTGGCAAGAGATGGTCCTTGTCTGCCGCAACCCGTAATGCTATGGTTGTGCAAGGCGTCAATGTAAATTGTAGCTGCAGCTGATAAATTTCTGCAGTGCTGCAAGTTTGATGAACTTTCCAGGTTAAGAAAGTAATCATGCATTTCACTGTTCATTATATATTTGTATTAAGCTTTTAAGATGTTGAACTTGTGCTAGTTTTGCTAGCTACTCTCTTCATTCTAAATTATAAGACGTTTTGTTTTTTCTACATACATTGATTTTATACGTGTCTAGACATAGTGCATATCTAAATGTATAATAAAAACTATGTATCTAGAAAACCCAAAACGTATTACAATTTGGAACGGTGGGAGATGGTGGGAGTTTTTTTTTTTTTTTGACAAACTTTACAGGTTAAAACGCTCATACCTTGTTATCAGTAATATGGATATACCGGTGAACAATATGAAAGAACATATAAAACTGGAGCAGATGTGGCGTGCTAGGGATGCACGCGTGCAATGATCTACTCAGAAATAGTGTTTTATTGATTACTCAGAAATAAGATTACAGTCATTTTCATGTAGCATTCTTTCCTAGATCAGGTGCTTGTACCCGTTATGCTAATTGAGCTAATTCATAGACACAAAGGTAACCCCTATTTTATATTTCAAAAAGCGACCCATCGAGTTCAAATAGCGTTTAGGCGCGCCCGCCACCAGTAAAGTACTGACTTAAGTACTGCCAATAAGGCTAGTGAGTAGTGACTGAGCACCCAATTGATGTGATGAAGAACTCCTTGCGTTTTCCGGCAGCTGCGACCCTTCTCTTGTACTACAAGCCAATGCTTCAACTTCCCCAGCGCACACACCTATGTGTTCATTTTTAAACTAGATTGAAACACAGAGAGAGTAGTTTCTTTAAAAGCACCGCGAACCGTCACCTTTATCCACTCAACTAGTGCTTGAATCCAAGAGCACACCTCCTTTTGGTTGCTGTGATCAAAATATTTATTATCAATTAGATAACTCTTTATATATTTCTTCCGTTTTTTACATGTCATATTATGTTTATCTTAAGTCTATCATTTCTAACTTTGATCATTAATTTCAGGAAAGTGAGCTAGCTCGGTCGGTTGGTGGTGTTGATGTATACCCAAACCATTTAGGTTTAAGTCCTTGTTGAGGCAAATTTAGGTGCCTATTTCTTTTTAAATTAATAATTTAATAATAATAATTAATAATAAAATGCTACTAGTTCCTCCTAGGTTGGTCTAGTTTTTTTTTTAACTTTACCATCATTTAAAAAATCCAAGTACTTTCACAACATTTATGAACTATGTATTATGAAAGTATTTTCTTATAGTGAATTCAAAACATAAATCTTATATTATTGACCTAGTTCCTTCTAGGTCGGTCTAGTCTTTTTTTTAACTTTGACCATTAATTAATTATTAAAAATCCAAATAGTTTAACAACATGTGTGAACTATATATTATGAAAGTATTTTCTTACAGTGAATTCAAAATATAAATCTTATATTGTTAACCTATTTTTTTAAAAATAAATCCTCCAAAGTTAAAAACATTTACCTTAGAACAAATCTAATACAACATGTATAAAAGACAGAAGTACTTGTCGAGTTAGGTCCTATTTGATAGGGCTTCTCTGCGGCACCGGCTCATGCAAAGGAGCCCTACCAAACGGTTTAATAGGAGGAGCCGTGTATTTCACTGAAAAAAAGCATGACTCCTACAAAACGGCTACAGCTCTTTCTAAAGGAGCCCTCAAGGAAGAATCCTACCAAACAAGATTTTTTTTAATACTCCTTCCATTCCAAATTATAACTCATTCAAAGAATCTTGGAGAGTCAAAGCATCTTAAGTTTGACCGACATCACATAAGTATATTATGAAAATATAATTAATAAAGAATCTAATGGTACTTAGTTGGTATCATAAATGTTGTTACCTTATTATATAAATTTGGTCAAATTTGATATACTTTGACTATCTAAGATTTTTGAAATGACTTATAATACCAAAGAAGACCTTACTAATCAGTGGTGGTACCCCCGATTACTTCCAGATTACTGTACTGTTCTTTATCCTGACACCTTCCTAATACGAGTAGATATGCGGCAAAAGTATCTTGAATTTGCCGTGCTCCTTTTTTTTTTTTATCGTGGAATCATTTTTTATCTGTCCAACGCAAATGCCAATGTCACGCCACGCCACGTTTTTATTGGTCCACCGCAAATGCCAATGCATCCGCTTTCAAAAATGTTTTGGGTAGGAAAATGAGATCACTATTTCACAAATTGTGATTCAGTAGTCAAAACTAATACCAACTTAGAAAAAAAGTACCGTAATACTTAATCCGTTCTAAATTATAAGACACTTTAGCTTTTCTAAATTCATGATTTTTGTTACGTGCTTAGATATACACTATGTCTAGATGCATAATGAAAACAACATATCTATAAAAGCCAAAACATCTTATAATTTGGAACGGAGGGAGTACCTATCTCTCACAAAGTCACACTTCGACTTCGGCACAATCTTGTATGTATATATGAATAAATAAAAAAGAAAAGAAAATAAAGATTCGACGAAAGCGCCTTCTAGACGAGGTAGTGTTTGATTAAGCATGTGTTTGGTTGAAGGGGTGAACAGAGTTTGGGTTGGGTTGGACCAAGAAAAGAAAAATAAAGATTCGACGAAAGCGCCTTCTAGACGAGGCAGTGTTTGATTAAGCATGTGTTTAGTAGGAGGGGTGAACTGGGTTTGGGTTAGGTTGGACTTACTTTTAAGAGTGTTTGGTTTAGGGAGGTGGGAGTTGGGTTTACCCCACGGTTCCATGGAAACGAGCGGACGGTGTTTGACCCAGTCGCGCGTCTCGCGTCCGTCCGTGGAGCCCGCGGCAGGGCTGAGCAGCACCGCGCCCGGCGTGCGGCCTCGAAGAGCTGAAGCAGCGTGCGGCCAGGGGAGCGGCGGCTACGCGGCTAGGGAGCAGTGGCGGCGCGACCATGGAGCAACGACGCGCGTTCGGCGCGCGGCCTTGGAGAGCGGAAGCGGCGTGCGGCCAGGGGAGCGGCGGCAACGCGGCCAGGGAGCTACGGCGATGGTGCGGCCAGGGAGCTGCAGCGGCGCGTGTCTGGCGTGTGGCCTCAGAGAGCAGAAGCGGCGCGCGTCCAGGGGACCTGCGGCGGCGTGGCCAGGGAGCGGCAGTGCGTGGCCAGGGAGCAGCGCGCGGCCGGCGTGCTGCCTCGGAGAGAGGGAGCGGCGCGCGGCGTCGGAGATAGCGAGAGAGCACGAGGTAGAAGAAGGTGAGAGGCTGTCACGCGGGCCCCACCAGTCAGTGACTTATCCCACTCATACAAAACCTGTACAACCAAACACACACCCAAGTTCAACCAAACCTCCTAAACCAAACATAGAACTGGGTTCGCCCTATCCCAAAAATCAGGGTTGGGTTCAACCCATTCCTAGTAATCTTACAACAAAACACATGCTACGAGACATAGTAGGACGGAACAGTCACTTTTGAGGAATATGATGGTTTCATCTTTTGGGGTCCGTCTTTTCTGCGTTCGAGTGTTTCTTTCGAGGGGAGGGGGGACCGGCAGAACACTTGATTCGTTTGTTCACTGTTCATCTTCCTCGTAGCCCCCGCCACCGCCTCCTCCTCATTGCGGCCTCTTTCTTCCCTCCCCGAGCTCAAGGCGTCATGCGGTGAGCTCCAAATGATGGGTGACCTCGCTCCGACTTGCTCGGCCGTCTCCACCGCCACCAGGGCCCCTAAACCGCCCTGTCGCTGTCTCTATTATTTGGTCGGTCTTCCTCCTCTGAACCCCCTTATATGCCCGCCGGACATGGAGAAGAAGGGGGAGAGAGGACGGATTTGCTGTAGAAATCGAATTGAGTGAGAGAATTGTGTTTCTCTTTTGTTTTGTTAAGAGGACAGGGGCATCCTTATCTTGTGTTTGGTTTTAAGGAACGATCAAAAGTAGGACAAGACTATAATATATGGGGCCCACTTGTCAGTATTATTTTTTATTTTTTTTCTCTTTTCTTCTATTTCTCTTCCCGGTCGGTCGCATCTCGCGGCATCGGACCCCAGCGCCGCCGTCGTCACTCCTTGTCCCCCACGCCGCCACACGAACCACCTCAGCTTCCCGCGCCACTGCCCTCGGCCTGCCGCCGCACGCCTCCCGCGCCGCCGCCCTCGGCTCTCCGCTCCCCGCGACGCCGCCCTTGGTTCTCTGCCCCCTGCGACGCCGCACGGACCTGCGATCCACCCCAGCACCTCCGCCCGCAGCCACAGCTGGGATTCGCCGCCGGTTGCCACCACCTTCTCGGTGCTCCTCACGCGCGCACGAAGCAGTGCTCGTCCCAGGTGGGACGAGCTAGTCCGTGAAAATTTTTGGGGCAGGGTGAGCTAGCACCATATCAAAGTGGGATATCCCACCTTGTCCCAATCCATCCCTGGAACCAAACCCTACCTCGTCGTCTCAGCAGCGCAGCCTCTGTCCCACTCTTCCGTTCGATTTGGTGGGCTGAGGCCACTCTCTCGTAGAGTCGTAGTACAGCGCTTCCCGCACGGCGATGTCGGCGACGCCGCTGCCCTCGTCGGGCCCCGACGGCGCGGTGGCGCTCCCGCCCCCTCCGGGCACGGACATGACGGGGATCTGCTTCCGCGACCAACTGTGGCTCGACACCTACCCGCTCGACCGCAACCTCGTCTTCGACTACTTCGCGCTCTCCCCCTTCTACGACATCACCTGCAACAACGAGTCCCTCCGTTCGCGCCAAATCCACCCTCTCGACATGTCTCACCTTACGTACAGCACTAGCTTGGCTCCCCATCTCCCACCAATTCGTCTGAATTTTTGGTTTGGTATTGGTATTCGATCCGTGTGGTGTTGTTGGTCGCAGGAAGATGACCGGGATGGAGTACCTTCTGAGCGAAGTGATGGAGCCGCACCTGTTTGTGATCCGGAAGCAGAAGCGGGAGAGCCCCGAGAAATCAAGTCCCATGCTCGCCTACTACATCCTTGACGGCTCCATCTACCAGGCGCCACAGCTCTGCAACGTCTTCGCCTCACGGATAGTATATGCTCACCTCTTTTTCTTATATTTTGCAATGGGATTCTAGGCTGTACATTTTTCTGATTGTCAATGCGATGAAAATGTTCTGCGCACATTTTTGTTTGTTAGTTTAGCCTTTCATTCTTTGGACATTTTAATTTGGCTATATAATATGATCGTGTATTTTTTTGTCGTGAGCGACTAGCGAGTTTTACTTGAACTGTTCTTGTAACATTGCAGAGTAGGGCTATGCATCATATATCAAAAGCCTTTACCATAGCATGTTCAAAGTTGGAGAAGATTGGAAACGGTATGATCCTTGCGTGCTACCTGTTTTGTACTTTTAATTTCTGTTTACCTGTTTCTCACATGATTGATTGTAAGGTGTCTTATCCCCATGGTGTTACATGAGTCCCGATTAAAGAATTCCATGTCTTAAATTCCATTGAGATTAAATATTTGGCCAAACTTTGTGTTGAATTTCTAGTGAGATACTCCTGTGAAACAATCAACTGGTCTAATTCTTCGTGGCTTGCTATAGTTTACCTGTTGAATCAAACATGCACCACTAACAGTGATGGATTTATCATGTGGAATACTGTATAAACTTTATGAACAGGAACATGTGACTCTATCTTTACAGCATTGGATATTCTGATTTATAGAATAACTCACTAAAATTGCAAAATCATTATACTGCTTACTAAAGAATTGTCGTTCTCAATTAATTTCTGAAGAAAGTAGTGTTGGATTAGTTACAGATGCCCAAATTTAAACCTCTGATCTGATTATCTTTGTAATAATGCCTTACAATCTCGTTTCCCAACGAAAAATAGGTTACCTATCACCTGTCAGTTCCTTTTTTCTTTCCAACAAGGGGGGCATGCCTGAATTTTATTCCTAAATCACAACAAAATTACAAAGTTCCTCCTATTTACCACCACAGCATACCACATAAAAACTCCAGCTAGGGCTGTGCGAGATCGCCATAGGAACAACCACCACGAAACATTTAGACTTTAAGTACAAGACTTTAAAAGGCCACACAGGATCTGAAACTAAAGAACAGCATCAGCTAACTTGCTAGCATGACTAGAGCAGGACCCACTCTGTTGTTGCCACTTACTAGAATGACACCAGCTAACTCGCGATAGCAACCTGTGAATTCCTTGTTACTGAGTCAAGTGTGTTTTCTTTTCATTTTCCTTGATTTTTTTGGCTGTTAACCTTCTAATCATGTATTAATTTCTATCTTTGATTTGGCAATACCACCTAAACTCCCTAAACTCATCAACTTTAGATAATCTGGTACATGAATCAGGAGTTCTGTAATTCTTGTTATCACTGGATAGAATAATTGGCGCAACACAGTGAATGCTGGCAGTATGCGTCTACTGGTTGTGAACACTTAGATAAGTGTGGCTATAGTTCCGTTCTTTTCTTTTGGTGGTGAAACTAGCAGCAACTTATGCATACATTAGCAGCACACGGATCATGGGTTCATGGCAGAGTCTGCCCTAAATTGCTTGGAGCTAAAGGTTCTGTTGCTTTCCTTTTAGTTGTCATTGTATAATGTTTCATTTGAGGTTGAGGCGGATAACATGTTGTACTTGTTTTTTTTTCTTGTGAAAAAGAGTATTTTGATAGTTCGATACAGGTTTTTGAATCTGTGGTAGTAGATCATGCTATACTTCGACTTCTGTTGGTACAAAAGTGCACATATAATTTATGGTTTCGCCAGAATGTGTTTAGTCTCTGAACTATTAACTTTGATCTATTTGCCTGATTATTGCTTGGCTTATCCATTTTTTAATAATTTCTCGTGGCTTGGCCACTGGAACTCAGAACAGAAACAAAATAGTAGATGCAACTTAGTTTTGATGGAAAGTTTCCTTTTATCTTTAGCCTTTGGTAATGCTTGATGGTGATAGTTGCATAAAAGATCACGTGCATGAAAAATGTTGCTGTGTGTATGTGTGTATTCATAAATCACATGTTACTTCAGCTTTGAGGTAGCTGCATCTGTGTTCTCTGTTGAACTTCTTCGTACTCTGAAAAAACAAAGGTGACACTAGGAATGTCTGTCTGTACATTGCAGCGGAAACTGAGTCTGATGCAGTAGCCTCTGAATCAAAGACCCAAAAGGAAGCAATCGACCTGAAGGAACTCAAACGAATTGATCATATCCTGTCATCCTTGAAACGGAAGGTAATATGATTTTTTTTTTCTCTGCGCTGGATAACTTAACATGTTATGTGGATCAGGGGCTAAATGCTGTGTCAATTCATCCTCCGCTAACTTGTGACTGTTGATCCCATTGACCTGCAGTGTGTCTTCCTTTGTTGGTTAATTATATTTTTAAAACTAACACATTTTCTTTTTTCAGATAGGGGCTGCTCCTCCCCCCCCCCATATCCCAGGGGCTATGTCCCACCATCAGCAGAACAAGAGAAAGCACCGGATGATGTGGCAGCATCAGAGGCACCACCTCAACTTGACCCTATCCTTGATCAAGGTCCTTCTAAAAGACCAAGATTCCAATGAAAGATTTGTAGCTTAAATCTGCTGACACGACAACTGCCTGTATGTTTTAAAGTTGCAGACGTGGACTTCATAAATTCATTCTTGCTGGTTATTTACGGGCCAAAGACAGAACTAACTTCGTGGCATGATATTTCTGTCTGAGTTACTAGCTTGAATCTTGTAGATTCGCCAGTGTCATTTGCTCTGGGCTTGTAATCTTGTAGATTGGCCAATGTCATTTGATCCAATCTTATCTACTGTTGTTGACCTGTTTCCACTGAGCTTTTATGATTTATGAGGTGGCTATAGTTTTACCTTTGTGCAAATCTGCAAGACTAGACAACTCATTCATTAGTGATTATATATACTTATGTAGATTTATCAAGTCATATGACCTGATACAGACGGTGACTGTCACCAAGTGCATCTGCCATTTTCTGTTGGTGTGGATGAAGTCTGACACTAGGAAGTCTGTTGGCTGTGTAATAGCTTGTATAGAAGAAGTCTAGGCCTAAAAGGGATATGTATATGTCTTAATATATGTATGTACTTTTTTTTGGTGAGGATAAACCCAGCTTTTATAAAAAGGTAAGAGATACAGAGTTCCAAATCTTGCCGGGGATTCCAGCTTACAAGAAAAAGCAAAAACTAAAAGAAACTGGAGAGGAGCTACTGTTATGTGTATGAAGGCTCTTGTACTGTAGGCGAGCTCTCTACGTATAGCCATCTCCACCTATGGAGTGCTTTGGCTTTTTTATCCTCAAGATACGGAACATTGTACCAAAGCCATGGATTAGGGTTAGGATATAGATGTCCAACGGGCCGTGCCAGGCACGGCCCGATGGGGGTCGGGCAGGCACGACATGTCCTTCCTCCGGGCCGTGCCTCTTAGGGCCACGAGCCTGGCCTTTGGCCTTGGAACAACATTATGAGCTGTTTTTCATGCCGGGCCAGCTCGGTAAGCACGACCTCCTCAGCAGGGTCGGGCCAGCCCGATGCCCACGACTCCATGCCACTAATGTCGCCGCCGCGTGGGGAAGGAGGGAGGAAGGAGCTGAGGCATGGGGGACTGTCGCCGTCACGTCACAAGGGAGAAAGGAGCTCGAGGTTGGGCCCCGCGGTCGCCGTGCTTGAGGCCTGTGCTCCCGTGGTTAGAGATGGCGGCAGCGGGATGCCGGGATGGAGGAAGAGGTAGCGACGGCAAGCGAGCTGGGAGGAGGTCGAGGGTGGCGGCGACGCTCCAGCAGTCTCTGACCGCCGCACTTGAAGCTGGAGTTCCGATGGCCGGTTGCAGGGATGGCGGCACTCGAAGTTAGGTCCACGTGACCACGCCTAGGACCAGGCGCGACCCCGCGAGGCGCCCGTGAAAGGTCCTAAATAACTAGAGGGGGGTGAATAGCCTAATTAAAATTCTACAAATTCACTAGAGCAAAGAGTTAGACAACAATAAGGCGATCAAGCGGTTTTGCTCTAGCTCTACTGGAAAAGGCAAGCCACCTACCGAATGCTAGTTGCTATGATCTCTATGTATATGACACACATTCAAACTAGCTATGTGTCGGTGTTTCGAGTAAACACCAACGAGTATAGTCGTGTTATTGCGCGTCTGGCCCGGATGGTGTGCTAAAAAAGACACAAGGTTTATACTGGTTCGGACAGAATGTCCCTACGTCCAGTTCGTGGATACTGCTCGTGTTATTAGCACTGAAAAGTTCATAGTAGGGGTTATAAACGGGCGAGAGAGGGATATGTCCCAAGTCTCTGATGGAAAGGTCGAATGGGAACTAAGAGTTTGGTTGCTGCTCAGCTATGTGTGATGTGATGTGTGATGTCTTGAATCGATCTCCTTAGTGGGGTTCCTGCCTGCCCTTTTATAGGCCAAGGGAGAGCAAGGATTACAGATGGGAGAAAGAAGAAAAACCAGAGGCAAAGGAGGTCCTTCAAAGATGCCGGGTCTTCCTTTTTCTCTGTGCGGGCCCCGCTGACATGGCAGGCGGTGCCAGGGATAGCCCCACACTGGGCGTCTATCCGCTGATGATGTCATGTCCTGGCATTGCCAGCAAGTTGTCACGTCCCATCCCTCTCCGGCGGGCGGCGCGACAGATCAGGGTGCTGATTCGCGGCCATACAGGGAGCAGACGATGCAGTGACCGCACGTCCGTTACTGTAGGTGATGCGAGTTTCCTCCTGGACCGTAGTGGTTGTAGTGAGCTTCCGTCAGGATCCGTGCCCGAGGGCAAATGGCGGCGCCCGCAACACTGTAAGACAAATGTCGATGCCTACAACACTGTTTGGGCTCTGACATGCTTGGAAGATCTCAAAGCACCCTTCTTGTCATATCTTGACGGTACTTTCCTACAGGCATGCAGGATATGGTCCTCGGTATTGCAGTTGACTTGAGTGCCCTGCCTTATCTGCGCGTGTCGTTAGGAAGGAGTCACGCGTAGATGTCAGGCGAGGCGGAGTCATCCTTCAGATGTCGAGCGAGGCGAAGCCAACCCTCGGGGTCGGCGGCGGAGACAACCTCGACGTTAGGCGAGGTGCAGCCAACCCTCGAGGGTCAGGCGGCGGAGATGTACCCTTAGACGTCGAGCGAGGCGGAGCCATCCTTCAGACGTTAGGCGAGGCGAAGCCAACCCTCGGGGGTCGGGCGAAGCGGACACAACCCTCAGACGTCGGGCGAGGCGGAGACAACCCTTAGACGTCGGGCGAGGCGGAGACAACCCTTAGACGTCGGGCGAGGCGGAGCCAGTCCTCAGACGTCGGGCGAGGCGCCCTCGGAGGTCGGGCGAAGCGGAGCCAGCCCTCAGATGTTGGGCGAGGTGGAGCCAGTGCTCAGACGCCGGGCGAGGCGGAGCCAACCCTTGGGGGTCGGGCGAAGCGGAGCCATCCCTCGGGAGTCAGCCTGAGGCGTTTCCAGCCCTCGGGGGTCGGACGATCGGACGAAATGGAGCCTGCGGCCTTGGTGGTTTGGACGAGGCGGGGCCTACTGGGAAACGTAGTCATGTTCTTGATCGCTCTGATGAATTTAGCATTGATGGGTATCAACTCCTCTTCTTTGGGTACTCTAGTATTGGTCCCCGACACTATGTCACTACTTCTACCACTAGTGAGCTAGCAAGAAATAAGATACAACTAATATAATTATGCCACTCAACTAGCAAAACAAGCTACCACTACCACTATATCAAGAATGTAATACAAGAGTGATAGAGATGTATACCGAATCGAGCAAGAGATAAATCAAGCACAAGGATATCAAGATGACACAATAATTTATCTCATGGTTCGTTTGCTTGCCGGCAACTTAGTACACATTGTAACAACACACTCACTTGGTGGCTCACACGCTAATAGGCATCACATGCCTAGCCCTATACAAGGGCGCCGTAAGAACCAACACAAATAAGGGTACTCAATGCCACGAGAAATCCACTAGAGTTGTCTTTTGTGAATCTTCCATGGGGAAGGCACAAGAACCCCTCACAATCACCACAATCAGAACTGGAAACAAGCACCACCCTCCGCTCAACGATCCCGCTGCACCAAGCCATCTAGGTGTGGCAACCACCAAGAGTAACAAGAATCCCACAGCTCAAACGTTCACTAGTGCCACTAAATGCTCAAACTCTAAGCAAATGCATTATGGATAACTCCCAATCTGACAAATGATGGTGACCACATGAACTAGATGAGTGGGAGGTACAGGAGTATGCTCACAAGGTGTATCAACAAGTTAGAGAACCAAGAGAGATAGCCACACCCAACCAAGGCATATTTATAGAGCCCCAAAAGCTGAAAGAGCCATTGGCCAACTGAATGGGCTGTCTGCGCCCACATCGGACGCTAAGCCAGGGGCATCGAACACTGCCTGAGCGTTCGATGCGCCACATGTCGCCGTTGTGTTAACTAGCCATTTGAAAGAGCTGTTGGCGCCCAACGGTTGCCTCTACGCCTCAACGTCCGATGCCACATCGGACGCAACGCTCACCAGCGTCCGATGCGGTCCAGAGAGGTTTCAGAGCCGTCCAAAACACAATGGACGCGTCCGATGCTTCACATCGGACATGCACCCAATGTCCGATGTCCACAGTGCAGCCAACCTTCCTTTGCATGAACGGTGACATCAGACTGACTCTAGTCACATCGGACACTAAAGAATAGCATTCGGTGCCTTCGCTGAATATCAACCGAAGAATTATTTTGGCAAACAGAGAGCAGCCAAAAACACGGACAATGTCCGATGTCCACAGTGTTTAGCGTCCGATGCTCTCTGCTAGGACGAGCTAGGGTTATCCTTTAGACGCTAACACTTAGCGTCTGATGCACACGTCATCAACGTCCGATGCTCTATGAGCACTTCATTCACTAGTCTTCAACCCATGTGCAAATGTGTTAACTCCACAATGTTTCCAACACTTGTATACGTGAGTTGGCATTTTTCACAAACATTTTCAAGGGTTGTTAGCACTCACTAGGTCCTAGTGTTAATGCATTGAATTAATTCATCTAGTGGCACTGGATAACCATAATCACCCTGAGAGTTCCCCTCTTAATAATACGGCTATGTATTCTAAATCCAATTACACACTCTTTTGCGTCTTGATTGGTAAAACAAAATGACCCTAACATTCATACCTTTGCCTTGACCATCATTTTATTTTTCTCTTTCTTCTTTTTCAAGTTGAAGCATTTGATCTCCATCTTTTGGCTATCTCCATCACTTGAGTGCCATCTAGCTCCATCACTTAGATTTAGACCAATCTATCTCATAATCACACTTAGACATAGGGTTAGTCCAATATATTTCATAAATTAGCCAAAAACCAAACTAGGGTTTTCAACCCGCCGGCCAGCACTCCCGTGGGCGAGAAGAAGAGAAGAGCGGAGAAGCCGAGAAGGTGTGCTCACACGAGGATGCACCCGTGCCTACGCGTAATCGCGAGGGAAGCAAGAAGTGGCAGCGGGGTCGACTGATTGAGGGATGAGAGGACATCTAGGGTTGATGTTACAGGTTAGGCTACTAACGGGCCTTAT